ATAGATAGATAGATAGATAGATAGATAGATAGATAGATAGATAGATACATCAAAACTGTAATCACTTTTAAGGTCTGCGTGGTAAGTTTTCTTTCATTTTATGCTTTATTTGTCATTTGTAATCTTATTAGTGCATGTGTGCTGTTAATTTTATTTTATTGTATGTATTTTATCCTCAAACTGCCAGGGGCAACAACCAAAAACGAGCTTTTGTTGCTAAAATTTGTTACGTTTACAAGCTAATCTCACATGTAAATATAAAAAAAACCCAGTTGTTTGCATCTATATTGATGCAGTGAAACACTTGCTTTTATCCTGACGGTGACCTTTGACACCAGACTGAACATCCCTGAGGGGAGCTGAGCAAAAAGTCCTCCTCTGAGTTTCCCACTGATGCTACTGAAGTGATATCAATGGATTTTCAATGAGAGGGGGTTTGCTAGATGAGGCCCAATACATTTCTGAGAAAGACTTTCTTCGTCCCTATCAGTCTAAGGAGAGTTTGTGGGAGCGGTAGTGACTGAGAGCAGCACCTGTCAGGTTTAGCTTTTGCAGTTGATGGCACAGAAGGAGCACCAATCCGACTGCTACCACGGCTGATCTCTAATGTGGTGACCCACCGGGCGCCACCGGTCTCCAGAGGGAGCTGCATCAGGATCCCGAGCGCCCAAGCTCTTTCCGGGGCTGCAGTCCTGTTAATGTCTCCCTAAACACAGTGAACCAGGCTGATGTGCTCTAAATACATTTCATTATCATCATCATGATTATATCACTAATTGTGCGTGCTTGGTAATGTGCTACAGCAGCCACCTCCTGGGAGGTGTCTAAAGAACTGAATGATTAAAACGTGTACGATGAACCATGCATCAAAACGTCCTCGAGGGCTTCTTTGCAAGAAACATGTGAGCGGCTGCACCGACACTCGGAGCCAGAAAACAGCAGAGGATGAGGTCTGCTGAGGGTTGAAAGGCTGATGAGGAACCTGGAGGCAATAACAAGACAGGAGGAGGATTTTAGAGATGCAAAGGGTTGACCCAAACTGCCCCCATCCATATCCATAAACCCACACTACATAACCTGTGTGCCTTCAGACATGAGTCCAGAGCAGCCTAAATAATTCCACCAGAGCACAAAAGGCTCAGGTTCAAACCCTGACTGGGCTTCTTTGGCCCTGCAAGAAGTGTTTCCATCTTCATGAGTGGTTGACAGGAGAGGATAAAGTTTTTTGTGACAGCATTTGATGAATGTTTAATCCGATATTCATGCTTCCCGGGCTGGGATTGAGTCCCAAGTCAGAACCCACCAAAGACACACAGCAGGTGTGTAAAATATTCATCCGGTACACGCTTCATTAAGAATGAAACATACCACGGTCCCATTCATTTATTTATTTCGATTATCGAAACAAAAGACAGGAAAATGAGAGATTAAAACATGGCATGTGCGCTATTCTGTATTTGTCTCGCAGATTTGTAGCAATTTGTTTAGTGACAAATAACTTCCTGTTGAAGTCCCGCTGTCGTCTCGCTGAGAGTCAGGCAGCTGCAGCGAGAGGAGGTTCTGTAACAAATCACCGTCTGCCTGAGACTCTCTGGCTCTGCATCCGGCTGCAGCGGTTTGACCTTTGACCCGTCCAGAAGCGTCTGGTGACTCGCCGCACGAAGCATGCTGATATACTGCCGAGCCAGCGACAGAAAACGGGATGCGTTTTTTTTTATTAATTAGCGACAATTAATGATCTCTCCTGGTGACAGGTGTCTGCACTCGGACAGATGAAGTGACTGATGTCGGTCTGTCTGTGGAGCTCTCTTTGCTTCTTTCAAACTGGTGAACGGTGCAGAGTGATGGTGCAGCTTCAGCGGACGTCCCCTCTACATCTGAATGAACGTCACTCTGTTGACACATGCACCCAAAGGAGGTTTTTAAATTTTAATCTATTCTAATCTAATTAGAGCAACGATGTTCATAGTTCTGACACACAGTCATGAATAAAATTAATATCCTGTCACCCCCCCTCTTTTTTTTGTTGATAATTGGTTGAAAAATGATGTTGTATCTGTTCTGGCCAATCCTTGAACATAAAGTTATGTCTAATGTAGTATTGTGATAGCTCACACGATCTGTCAGCACTTGGAAGTACTGGTGCTGTGAATGACTCCCAGCTGCTACTAGGCCTGTCGCGATAAACAATGAATCAATTAATCAATTAATCGCATGATGAATGAAAATTATCGACCTCATTTTCATTTATCGACTATCGTTTCTTCATGTCTCTCTTTCTACTGAAGACACTGGATGACAAGAAGTTCAACTCCGATGTTCTTCACTGACCCCTCCCTTTCTCTGTTCTCTTTAAAATCAGTTTTAACCGTCCAAAATCGCGTTTGTGGATCATTCATTCAACCTTTATTTAGACAGATAAGTCACATTGAGCCTAGAAGACTCTTTTACAAGTGAGACCTGTTTAGACAGACAAAAAGTAGTGAAACTGGACACGTAGGAATTTGGAGGCGAAAAAATTCCTAAATCGTTAAAAGCAGCTAAGCTACAAGCTCAGCTACGAGCTAAGCTAACAGGCCGCCCTCGGGAAAAAACCTCTGTCTTGTCGAAGCTTCAAAATTCACGGTTGAAACCCGTGCCTTTGTGTAAAAAGTTGTTTTTCTCTGCAAAAAGAAGCTGAGAACTTGTTTACTGACTTTTATTAAAAGCTTTGTGTGAAAAATGCTGAAGAGTTCAAACCACACCGAGCGTCCACCATTTCGAGAACCAAAAAACAGGAAGGAGAGACCGCCCATGTCATGTCAAGGGGCCTCCCTCCCATTTTTCTTAAAGGGACACTCTGCTCGCTCCCTTACTATTCATCCTTCACTTCAGTCTTATATTGCCATCCAGTGGTCCAAAAAAAAGTACTATACACAAAAATTAACCAACGCTACTTCTTAAATTTGATAATAATTACTAATTATTGTCAAATATCAAACAATATTATCGTTTATCGCAATAATTTCTGAGACAATCAGTTGCCCAGCAAAATTTGTTATCGTGACCGGCCTAGCTGCTGCTGCGCCAAATCCCAGCTCTGTATCTACAATTTTTGCAGCTATTTTTGTGCCAGAAAGGGCTGATTTGCCTTAGAAGCCAGTCCTAAATTGGCGTAACTTGAAAAATTAATTGGTTGTCGTTGAGCCGCCAAGAATTTCCTTCAAATAATGTCATAAAAAAACATCCAGTGGGTATATAGCAATATATTTTGCTAACAGACAAAGAGGGTTTACAAGAGTAAATGCTGAAGTTTTCAGCCAGTGTTGTGCTAAAACTGTGTTGAGGACAATGCACAGCTAAGGTCAGCTGGCTGTGGTGGCCATCTTGAATTGTGCTGAGACAGCCCAATTCAAGATGGCCACCACACCACATTTGCTTCTGATGCAGGGCATGCATGTAATCTGCTACTTTTAGCTAGACTTGTGCTAGTTTTAGCTTCCATGCAGCCTATTACTAGTTTTAGCCTCTAGCCAGCCATTTGGTACTTTTAGCTTCTAGTAAGCCTTTTTCTATTTTTTGATTCTAGCTACATTAGTCTAGCCTTTTGCTACTTTTTAGCTTCAAATGACACTTTTGCTCCTTCTAGGATTTTCCAAACCTTTTGGCAATTTAAGCTTCTAGCCATTCCTTTAAAAACTTAACTTTTAGAGACCATTTGCTACTTCTAGCTTCTAGCAAGTCTTTAGCTACTTTTACTAGCCTTTTGCTCTTTTTAGCCAGTTTTTGGTACTTTTAACCAGCTCGTTGTTACTTTTAGCTAACCTAGCAGTTTGCTTCCTTCAGCTTGTAGCCAGAGTTGTTCTTTTAGCTTTCGTAACTCGGTTTCAGCCTCCTCTGTGAATTTCAGCAGTCGTTCAGTGCTCACCTTTCACAAATGTAATTTCTCTATTTTACATTGTATTTATCTGCATGCTCCAATCTGTGACTTATCAAAGTAAACAGGATACCTGAGCGAGTAAAGCTCCAGAGAAAATCCATCCCTTCTATTTATTCCGAAGGATAATGGCTGAATTATTCATCCTGCGTGATGATTAATTAAAAGAGGCCTCAGGTCCTGTGGCAGATACAGGCTGACATTCCCAAGTGATGTGCTGGACGTCTCTGCCTCCATCCACCCTCCTCCTGGTTCTCTCTGCGCACCTTTAGGGGAAGTGCCCTCACATGTGGCGCATGCCTTTACATCCAACATTTTAACCCAACTCACACACACACACACCTGAGGTGATTAGTTCCTCGTGTGTAAGAGCAAAATCGGGTCAAGTCATCGTTTTCATTGCTTGCTCTAGCTGTTCGCCATCTTTTAAACACAAACTGGGATTTTTAGAAGGATTTGGATCTTGATCACTTTCATGCTCGAGTTTTAGACCAATACCATCTTATGATGAGAAATGACAGAGCTGCAGCCATTCTGACCCATCCATCCATCCATCCACCCATCCATCCATCCATCCATCCATCCATCCATCCATCCATCCATCCATCCATCCATCCATCCATCCATCCATCCATCCATCATCTTCTGCTCAGATCTCGGGAGTAGCAGCTTGAGCAGGGAGGTCCAGACATCTCTCTCCGCAGCCACCTCTTCCAGGAGGACCCCAAGACGTTCCCAGGCCAGCTGAGAGACGTAGTCTCTCCAGCGTGTCCTGGCTCTTCCCCAGGTCTCCTCCCAGTTGGACATGCCTGAAGCACCTCCCCAGGGAGGCACCCAGGAAGCATCCTTACCAGATGTCCGAACCACCTCAACTGGATCCTCTTGATGTGGAGGAGCAGTGGTTCTACTCTGAGTCTCTCCTGATAACT